CTTCCCTGCCTTGTTTCCCTTCCCAGTGGGGAAAACAGCCCCTTGGCCCTGCGGTCCGGTACTGACACAAGAGGTGTGCTGGCACCGTTTGCTGTCGTCCTGCATCTCAGGAACCACAATCGGTCCCTGTACCTGTGAAACAAAGTGGGGTGAAAGGGAGCTGGTGCAGCGTTACAGCCATCCTAAATTAGTCTATTTAAAACATAAAGGAGGGACAGTGCTTCCCCCAAGATTTCCTCAAAGACGTCTGCCTTTGCCTGGAGTTACCAGACTCAAGTTCAGCAGAGCATGGATAACTTTAAACACATTCCTGCACGCTTGGGTGGGTGGTGTCACGGGCACACCGGCCTGGACCATTTATCTATGTGCTCTAGGGGCTTAGATGCCCAAATTCTTGGAGGGTCTTGGCTTTTATAGCAGGGAAAAAAAAATAATAAAAGAGCGCAGCATGGAGCTAAACACCTTGGAAGTAAGCACTGTATTGCAAGAGAGATCCTTGCTGCGGGGTCACACACCAGCTCCCAGGGCTCACTGGGCAGATCTCCAAGAACCGATATCCAAGAGCTTCAGCAGCCCAGAACTGGTGGGCCACTTTCCTCGGGAAGCCTTTGCAGCACCAGGGATAGGACTCGTCTGTGCTAAGCTGTCACATCCCCATTTATAGTTGTCTCCATCTGAGCTCATCACTCAGCATCTTTATAGGCTTTAAGGCGAGTAGGATGCCTCTGGAGTACCATCCACCCGCCCCACTTCAGAAGTCGATGTTAGAAAGAGATGAACTGCACTGTTGACTCCTTGGCTCCTCTCCATTGACCATAACTGGTGCCTAGAGGTCTACACTCACCTGTGCACCCCTGCTTTGAAGACCCCAAATGCATCTCTATCAAGGTTAAATTCCCGGTGAATTAGTTGTGTGTGACGTTTTTGAGTTCCCAAGGTGCACCATCTCCTGACTGGAGTGTTGGGGAAGGGAGAAGGCCTGGCCCACCCCATCCATTCCACCAGCTTGGAGATTAGGAACCGAGTCATTTAAGGTGGCCGCCACCTTCTCCTTGAGCTCTGGGCCAGCATCAGTGGTGGGTGAGCAGATACCCTTAGAGGTGGACCTGCTGCCAAAGCGACAGGTTTGATCTCAAGGCTAGCTCATATCAAACCTCAAATGAAAAAAAAATGGTGAGACCTGAGTGTCCAGTCCAATCAACATTCCTTTCATTTAATGCTATTTTAGCTCTGGGGTCATGGTTCAGGGGTGTCCTTTGCACTCCAGGAATAGCGAGTGTGCATGTGCCCATGACACCTCTGTGTATGACTTCTTCCGAAGCTCTGCCTGCTGTCCTTGCCCTGGACTTTCCCCCAGCCTCACCCTGGGCAAAGTGTGCTGCAGAGCATGAATTTGGAGGGGCTTGGGTTCCCTTTAGGTGCCCAGACTGGACCTGAGCATTCGAGGTGAGACCCTCATGTGCTGCCCCAGAAGAGGGACAGCCAGAAAGCTCCGCAGCCCCTGGGACGGGGTCCCTCACCACCCCTGCCCACTAGCCTTTCCTGGCACCTTGGCGAGCAGCAGCAGGAGCCGGACACAGAAGCCGAGACTCAGGACCACGGCTGGGACCTGCCCCTGGGCTGTCCTGGCTCCCAGACCTTCTGCCAAGAAGGACCAGCAGCTTTTCCTCAACCTGTGCCCAGGAGGTGGCTATTCAGGAGCAGGGGATGGGACATAAAAGGGGCCCTTCTCGACCTCCTCCCGGACCACCCCACCACGCATACCAGACTCTCGCACCCAACCTGGGCCCAGCAAGTGCTGTTGGAGCAGGAGCAGGATCAATCTCTGGGCCCCTCCTGCCTAGTCCCCTGTATGTGATGAATTTGCCAGGCCTCATCACCACTCCCGGAGCCGCTGCCTGCCCTTCCCAGCCACCGAAGCCGCTGGCCGTGGCTCCCAACGCTCATTGTCCAGGGCTGCCCCATCATTTGCTCTAGTCCCCGGCCGGACCCCCCTCGCCTTACCTGGCGGCCGGCAGCACCGTCCGGGGACCGGGGCTTTGCTCCCCACCCGCGGAGGAGCCCCAGGCGGCCCAGCTCCGCTCCAGTTCCCGAGCTGAGCGTGCATTTGCCCAAGCGCTTTGCATTTGTGCCTGGAAAATAACCGACTCGCCTTTTTATGATCGTGGGTGATAAATATTGCATCGCTCCCCTTTGCAAACTTTTAAGAGAGGGGACAGAGCGGTACCTGCAAAGCTGCCGGCACCGGCCACTGGGCAGCGACCCCGGCCTGGAGCAGCGAGCCCGGAGCCCCTCGCTGCATGCCCAGGCAGGGCTGGGGCTCTCGACTTTGAGGAGGGGGCGGCCGGGGGGCTCTGCGAGGCAGGAGCAGCGGCAGACTGGAGCGTGTTATGTCTGCGAGGGAGAGCCGGGGAAAGGGGGGGCTGGGGAGAGCGAAGAGGGCCCTGCTAATGCTGCACGGAGCTGATTCTCCAAGGCCCCCCCGGGCAGCACTCAGCATCCAGCCTTCATTAAAATTTCATCGCCAGCACTTGGCCAAGGTCTATTTATGAAAATGCGCTTTTCGCTTCATGGAAAAAACAGGAACGGAGCGAAAGAACAAAGGCGGGGATGGGGTTTGCGAAGCGCCCAGGAATAGAGCCGGGCGGCCGCGGAGGTGCGGGCTGGGGGGGGCCCGGCCGGGTCGCCCCCCTCCCCGGAGCCGCCCCCCGGGCCCGGGTGCTGCCCCGTTCCCACGGCGCGGGCGGGGCGGGCAGGGCTGCCCAGCCTGCCCCCGCTCAGGCGAAGCGGCTCCTCCGACGCTTATTTCGGGCGCTGCACAATTTTCCCTCTTTTCAGGTGTTTTGGTTTTTTTTTAATTCCCCCCGCCCCGTAAAATCTGCGGCTTGGGGAGCCGCTCCGGCCCGCGATCGGGGTGCAGCATCACACCTCCCCGCTCCCCCCGGCTCCTTGCATTTGGATATTTATTTATTCCCCCACCCCCCCCGAATAAGTTACAAAACAAACAAAAAAAACCAACCCAACCAACCAACAAAATCACCTCTTTTTATCCACGCCTCCCCCTCCCGGGACATAGGGCACAGCCCGGGGGGCTGCCCCCCCGCTGCCGAGGGGCTGAAGTTCGTGCCGGGCAGGTTTCGATGCGAGCGGCTGCGGGAGAAGAAACTCCAGGATGAGCCGAGCCGGGAGTGAAAATATCCCTTCTTCAGCCGTCTCAAGTCGCAGCCCGGGGAGGGCCGGGGAGGTGACAGAGGCTGCCTGGAGGGACCCCCCCGCTGTCCCCCCGGGGAAGGCGGAGCGGGGGGCGAGGGGCACAGCCCGTCCCCGCGATCGTTTGCGGGAGAGCCCGGCCGGGGCGGGCTACGCTCCCCCCGACCCCCGCCAACGAATTTAGTCCGTGGGACCGTGGTCCGGGCTTGAAAGTAAAACCCACCCCGGGACCCATACGTGGGGGCTTCAAAACAGCCCGAGTTTGGGCTGGTCTCCGCCGGGAAAGGGGCGAAAACACCCCCTCGGCTCCAGCCCCCCCTTGAGCCGCCGGCGGGGCTGAAACCCGGCGGAGTTCGCTCGGGGGCAGCCCCCACACCCCCCGCTCCTTCCCGGGGCGAGGAAGGGCAGCTCTGCCCCTCCCGTCCTCGCCTTTCCCCGCATTTCGTTTCTTTCCCCGCGCTCCGACGGGAGCCGGCGGCCGGAGGCGGCGGGGATGGGCTGGAGGAAAAAAGGGGCTTCGGGGGGCGGAGAGGGGTTCTCCCCGGAGCCGTGCCCGGCGGCCGCAGTAACTCCAGGAGGCAGGAGGGTGAGGTAAAACGTGCATGATTTATTTTGAAATGCTGCAGCGTACACAGACACCAAATTTCATTCAGCACACACACAGCGAAACGAAATCTCGTTTAATTTAAAAGGAGAGAAAAAAAAAAAAGGAAACGGAGGCAAATTTCTCTATTAAATATGCAAAGAAAAAAAAAAAAAGAGTATTCTTGCCTTAGAAAGTGCAGAGTTCCCTATTTGCAAAGGCAGCCGCCCCCGCGGAGGGCCGGGGCCGGGGCTGCCCGGGCATCCCCGCTGCCCCGGGCCGGTCCCGCCGCGGCCGCGCCGCTCCTGTGAGCCCGAATGACTTGATTGTCGAAGCGTAGGGGTTTTTTCTTTTTTTTTTTTTTTTTTTTTTAAACAGTGAAGTCATACGGATATCGAACAGTTTGAGTGAAACCAAAGCAAAATAAATCTCCATTTTTCCCCGAACAAACGGTGACTCCAGGGACGTGCCAAATTATTTTTTTTCTTTCTTTCTTTTATTCTTTTCTCTTTTTTTTTAATCCTTTCTTTTTTTCCTGTTTTTGTAATTTAGCCGATGAGGTAGAAACAGAAAAGTTATTGCAAAAATGCAATGGGTTTGCTGGGGGACAGGGGAGAGCGAACAAAACCATGCAAGTGCGTGTGTGTGCGTGTGTGTGCATGGGGACTCTGGCAGCGAGCGCGGGGAGCACGGGCCGGCACCTCCATATTTACAGCCGTCCAGGGCGGCTTCGAGCTCGTTTTCTTTCTTATTTGTTTCTTTTTTTTTTTTTTTCCTTTTTAAAATTTTTTAGAAGAGGAGGACTGGGCACCACGGCCCCCACCTGCCCGGCCAAGCCGGGAAGGGGCAAGGGGGCTGCAACAAAGACCTGCCGGGCTCTTGCTGCTGCTGCCCTGACTCTGAGCACCCCAAAACACCCCCCTAGGCCTTTCGTTTTGTCTTTTCTTTTTTCTCCATCTTTTTTTCCAGTTTTATCTACAAAAGCAGTCTGTATCAGTCATAACAGCACAGCCACTTCGCCCGGGGGTGAGGAGCAGGCACCAAACTGTTCACTTCGCTTTGGGCAGGTTTCCCTTTTTTAGGTTTATTTTTCTTTTTTTTTCCCCAATTTTTTTTTTAAACAAACAAACAAAAAAGCCAACAACCCCAACCCCTGCCCGTTTTGGAGGGGCTGGGGGCCAGGACCACAGCGGGCCGGTTGCAGGGGGGGGAGGCAGACACTCCCCACCACTGCCCTCCCAACCCCTTCTTCAGTAGGTGGCAGAAAATTTCATCCTTTTCTGCTTCTGTCTCTGATTGCAAAACCAGACCCGCACCACGTTCTTCTTCAAGTCTAACTTCTCGGCGATGGCGGCAATTTTCTCCGAGGAGGGCCGCGGCTGCACGGCGAAATAGGCCTCCAGCGACCGCTTTTCGGGGGCAGCGATGGAGGTACGCTTGCGTTTCTTGTCACCCCCCGTGTAGATCTCAGGTTTGGTCATTTTCTCCCTCTGGGCCCGCTCGGCCTCCTCCAGCCACGCTTCTAGGATGGGCTTGAGGGCCACCATGTTGTTGTGGGACAAGGTGAGAGACTCAAACCTGCAGATTGTGCTTTGGCTAAGGCAGCCCACCCCCGGGATCTTCAGGTTGGCCAACGCGGAGCCCACGTCCGCTTGGGTCACCCCCAGCTTGATCCTCCGCTGCTTGAACCGCTCGGCGAAGGACTCCAGCTCCCGGGGGTCCGTCTCCGTCTCGGGGCCGGAGATGACGGCGTGGGAAGCGAGGCCGTGGGGGTGGGACATGTTCATAGGTTGGGAGTGGTGGGCCATGTGGTTGATAGCTGACATGTGGGAGTGAGGGTGCGAAGGTGTGGAGCCCACGTCCGGGCCCGGCACCCCTCCGAGGGGGAGGGCAGAGTTGAGGTGGTCCAGGAGCTCGCCGTCCAGGCCCTGGGAGGGCTGGTGGTGGTGGTGGTGGGGATGGTGCGTGGTCAGCACGGACGGGTGGTGCAGGTGGACGGAGGACGAGGTAGGAGTACAGGACACGCTGCTCATGGTGTGGTAGGTGGCATCCGGCTTGAAGGGGTGGGTTTTCTGCGATACTATATCCACAGCGGCCAGAGCCTCAGCACCCCGCAGCAAGGTCTCGTCAAAGCCCGCAAAAATGTTACCCTGGATCTGGATTTGGGGCGGGGGGGGGGGGCGGGATAAAAGTGGGAGCAAAAACAAACCGAAAGAGCGGGAGAGGATTAAAAGGAAAGCAGCGTTATGGAGATCCCACTCTGCCCCTGGGACAGGTAAGATGAACTGAGTTCAACTCCCCCCCCCAAATAAAAGGGCCAGGAGCAGGGTGCCGGACCCCGGGCACCCACCCTTCCCTCTGGGGCGACCTCCCCAAAAAAGAGAGCAGCCGCAGAGGGGGGAGAAGCCAGTGGGCGTCCCGCAGAGCCTCTGCTCTACCGGCTGGCACGGCCGAGTTGGGCAAGACGGCTGCTCTCTCCCAGCCCGGGACGGACCCGCCAGCTCTTCCCCCGGCTCCCCCAGCCCCTTTCCCCGCTCCGAGCACCCTCGGCGGCAGGGACAGCCCCCAACCCACCGGACCAACCGCCCTGGAGGAGAGAGGGGGACAGCCCCCCCAAAAAAAAAAAACCCTAAACGAAACCCAAACCCAGACGGAACCCGTCGGCTGCCGAAGTAAGTCGGGGAGGGCGGAAGGCAGCGCGGTCCGGGAGGGTGCGGACCCCCCAAAACCCACCCGGGGGAAGGGGGGGGTGGGAAAAGCGGAGCCCCGCCGAGGTGCGGCTTACCTGGGGGGCGGGCAGGCAGGCTCTGCGGATGGCTTCGGAGCTGGTGTGCAGGTGGGGGTACTTGGGTTCGTGCAGGATGGGGTGCATGCTGAACGCCTGCTTGCTGTTCATGGACATCATGGTGGGCGAGGAGCGGGGCAGGGGCAGGGGCGCTCCGGGCAGCCCGGCTCCGGGGGCGCGGTATTGTCTGGCTCCGCCGCCCGGCATCAATGGCATTATAGCCCGGCCCCCCCGCCCCCCCGCCCGCTTATTGGACGGCTCTCGGGAGGCACCTCCCACCGCCCGCCCCCCGGGCAGTGAGC